GGGCTATAAAGGCCAGTTGTACCAGAAGCCTGAGCTTCATGACGAAGATGTCTGGGGCATGATAGAGCAGGTATGAAAGTATCCCAGGAGGAGTGCAGATAATACAATAAATAAGGAAATAGTGTATAGATGGGGAAAGAAAAAGTTGCTCAGTGGTAGGGAAAGAAGTGGTTTTTGTTTTGTTTTTGTACTTTCTCTGGGTTTGGATGTGAGTCCTTTCTGTTTCCAATAATTGAAAAATTAAAATGTTTTGTGTTTTGAACTTTGTTAGCCTGATAGCTAGCAAAGTGTACCAGGTACTGAAATTATGAGGTTATTTGTGCAGAAAAATGAGAAATGAGAAGACCCTAAAGTATACTTGGGTCCTTTATGTCAAGAGAGGGTCACCAGCATAAGGATTACATGATGTGATACTAAGTTCTTCCTGTGTTTTCAGTACTAGAACTTTTTGGAACATTTAATACTGGAAATAGCAGAAGAAATTCAAACCATACCCATCTCACATCAAATTTTATACTATAGTGAATTGCTTCTTAGCAAAACTTTGGAGATCATTTACGATGGATGAACAGTTATCATTTATGGTAGATGAATATTGGAATCTGGAGGACACACACAGTATGACTGGTGAGAATAATCTTTGGGGACATCACAGCATTGACTTTTAAGACATTCCCTTAAAAAAAGAAGTAGAAGATAGATGTTTCCCTTCTTACTCTTTTTGCTCACATAAACATGCAGGATAGAAAATGTCAAAGGCATCATTGGAGAAGCTACTCACAAACTGATTTTTCAGGGCCCAGAGAATGAGGGACCAGGGGAAAATGCAAGTAAATATAGCATATGCATTACGAAAACTTGAATGTTTTTACAATATTATAAAACCTCAGATGCTTGGTTTAAAAAGGTGACATTTTGTGTAAATTAATGTAATCTCCTTGATTACATTAGAAGAGAGACAGTGACTTTCATTTTTGTCTTTGTATACCTAGCACCTTACAAAAAATGGGTGTTTAACATTTGATGAGTTAAATTAATAAAAAGTTTCAATAGGAAAATAATTTTAAAAGAAGTTCAGAAGTTTCAAATACTATTTAAATTCAAAACTAGAGTGTAAATGTCATACTTAAATGTGAAGTTAAAAAATTGACAATATCCTTATATTATAAAAGTCTCATACTGCCTTAGCATTAAATCAAATTCTATTACTCAGTAAGTGTTGCATAAATAAATGTGAATTATTGTAAATTCTAAATTTGTTGGATCCAAAAAATTCATTTTATATTTATTTGTCATTTAAAAGGGGTCTGTGAGAATATCTAATGTATTTAATTCTGGCATAAACAAAGGAAAGAAGTACAAAAATCATTCAGGTTTTTAGTGGTAATGACAATGACTGGTGGAGAGGCAACATTACACAGGGGATAGAGCCCTAGACTCAGAATCATAAAGACTTAGATTCAAATCATGATTCAAAAACTTATAAACTGTATGACTTTAGGAAAGTCACTTAAGTGACTCTCGATCTCAGTTTCCTTATCTGTAAAAATGGGAAAAATCACAGCCTCTACCTCAGAGGGTTATTGTAAGAATACTTATCGAGCCCTTTCAAAACCTTAGAGTATTACATAAATGTCAACTAGCATTTTATGAATAATATAACTATTAAAAACAAAAGTTGGAATAGCTTTAAGAAGGTATAACTACTCAGCTTTGAACATCTTGAATTTGAGATGCCAGTGGTAGTTATATCCAATAAAACATATGGAAATATGGGTTTCAAATCAAGAGAGAGGTCAGGGCTGGTGGTTTGGGAATCAACTGAATGGAGGTGAGAGTTGGAACCACAGTAATGGAGATAGGGTTATATCTGGTAAAGCTTCCAGAAGGTAAGACTGCAGGTCTTGGCAGAAAGACTAAAAAGCTATCATCTTTTAAATATTATTTCATAACTTTTACATATTATCTGATTAGTACTCTTAAACTAAAGTATATCTTGCTTTTCTTCAACTTTTATACATTGTTTCTACTCCTATCTTTGACATAAAGTAAAACAAGTCTCTTCCAAAATCATGGAATTTCGGATTTAGAAGGGATATAAGTGTGTCTTTAGTCTGACTCACCTCCAAAAGAATAAATTCCCATTACAATACACCTTGTATATTGTAATGTACAATATACATCCACCCTTTGCTCAAAGTTCTCATAATGGAGGAGCCCACCTTCCCTCAAAGCAATCTATTCCACTTTTGGACCACTTTAACCTTTAAGAGTTTTACCTGGCATCAAGCTTAAATTTGCCTCTTTGTAACTTCTATCTAGTGTTCCTAGTTCTTCTCTCTAAGGGCAAACAGAACAAATCAAATCTCTTCTCCACATGATGGCCCTTCAAATACTTGAAGGCAACTATCATGAGCCCCCTAAATCTTCTTTTCTCCAGACTAAGTATTTCTAGTTCCTTCAGCCTATTCTCATGTGTTATAGTCCTTATTCTCCTCCCTGTCTTATCTCTTCTCTTCTGTATCTTAAGTGCGTCCTAAAAGGTGGAATGTACCCGGGACAGAACTCAGTGTTCCAAAGGTGGTTTAATCAGTGCAGAGTATAATAAAACTATTACTACCTACCCTCTGGAGACTAGGACTTTCAGTGCTACCCAACTTTATTGTTTCCATGACACACCGCTGACTCATTATGAGCTTGCAGGCCATACCCCAACCCCAGATATTTTTCATAGAAACTGTTATGATAGCCATGACTCCTCCATCCTAGGCTCTCAATTTTTATTATGAAAAACACTAATGTAGTATAGACATACATGAATGGAAAGGAAAACTTAATTGCCAGAAAGTAGCCATGGTAAAAATCAATTTCAAAATATGTTTCCTCCTCCTGTATGCTTTGTACACAATGTACAGTTCTATTCTGGGAAACAAAATTGCTTTGCCTTCTTACAAAAGATGAAGAAATGTATTCATGATGAGTTAGTTTATGATCTACAAAAGAAAATTAGCTTCATTAACTTACTGTCCATCTTTTTTTTCATTCATTGGACAAATACATGGGAGCATACTATGCATAAAACAGTGTGTTTACGTCTATGGGAAGGCAAGATAAATAAAACACTATATACCCTCTAAGAATTTATGATCCTTCCAGGCACCCAGGTTCAAAACTCTTGAGTCTTTCTTAATTCTTCAATCTCCTTTGCCCTACTTTCAATTACTTGACAAATCTTGCTGATTCTATCTCCCAAATATCTCTCTGTCTCCCAGACATTCCACTCACAACACAACTACCCTAGTTCAAGTTCAACTCCTCATTAACTCTTTCTTTCACTGTTATAATAGTCTCCTATTTGAATTTCCCACTTTCAGTCTCCATCCTCCAATCCATATTCCACACAACTCTCATAATAATCCTCATAAAACAAGATAGAATAGGACATAATAACTAATATTTATATAGTGTTTTAAAGTTTGAAAATGTTTTTCAGATATTTCATTTGATCCTCACATTAACCCTGTGAGGTACATGCTATTGTTATTCCCATTTTACACATGATAAAACTGAGGCTGACAGAGATTAAGCAACTTATAGTCAAAGGAGCCAAAGTCAGATCTTCCTCCCTCAAGTCCAGTGTTCTATGTCACCTGACTGCCTGGATTCAAGCCTGAGCTTTTCTACTTATTACCTGTGTTTCGTCAGGCAAGTCACTTCAGTTTTCTGGACCTCAGTTTTCTAATCTGTAAAATGAGAGCCTTGATGACCTATAGGGTCTATTCCAATTCTAAATCTATGATGCTATGTTACCCCATTGCCCAAGAAACTTTGGTGGTTCTCTATTGCTCCTCTGATAAAGCACTTCATTTGGCATTTACACTTCTTCATTTAGCATTCAAAAGCCTTCACAATTTGGGTCCAGCCTACTTTTGCTGACTTATGCCATTTTCCTCTTCATGTACTCTATATGAGAAGCCAAGCTGGCTAACTTTCTGTTGCCTACACATGACATTCTATCTCCCCTCTTCATGCCTCTGTAGGGCTGTCCACCATACTTGGAATGCTCTCCCTTACTGTCTCACTCTCTTAGACACTTTAGGTTCCCTCAAGAATGAACTCAGAAGGCATCTCCTACAAGTAGCCTTTCCTAATCCCCAAAGTTATTAGTGTTCTTCCTATCTCCCCCTAAATTATCATTTATATGCATATGTATATATATTATATATATTTATACACATACGTATGTATGTATACACATACATATATACACATAGACTCCTTACGTTCTCCTACCACCTCCCCAGTAAAATGTAGGCAACTTGCAGGAAGAGACCATTAAATTTGTTTTTCTTTATATCCATCACTTAATAAGTGCTTTGTTTGTTTTTACTTTATTGAGATGAAGAATACAGAAATAACAGCAGGATAAAAGGGTATGAAAAGTGTAAGAGCATGGAAATTCAGGGAAGGATTTTAGCTTGATCATCCTCATTATTTAGAAGATTTGGTACCAAATAGTTTTTGTCATTTTCCAAAAATGAACTCTTCAAAAGATGAAGGTTGAATACCATTGGACTTATTAAAGATAACCCTACCACAATCTTGAAAGATAATCCCTTCGGAGGAGTTCCAAAAAGGAACTCCAATGTCTGCACTGTTAGATGTATTATTTAATGTTCTAGGGTGACCACTATGAAGGGAACAATACTCATTCAGGCCATAATTTGTTGTTTGGGGCATGTTTGCCATTAACTACTTTTACATCATAATTAATACCTTGTTTATAAGCTTAGATTTCATATTACAATCTAAGATATAATCAGGAGGAGTCATCACACTGTGAGAGTACTTTTGGCATGGCCTATCTCCTCCTGCTCTCACAGAAGAACCCCCATGGACTTATTTCTTAATTCTTGATGAGTAAAATTAAGAAAAAATTGGGAGTTGGTAATATTTTTAATAAATGGATAGCTTTCAGACTAACCTGAACCCAGAATATTTCAAAAACTTTTTTTTTCTGGAATTGGTTATTTATTCTTACAGGAAGAAAATAAAACGAACAACTTCATCCTACGTTGTCCTCCTCCACCCTAGAGCCCTGCCAAAGAAATGGTACTTTGTTGCCTCTGATTTATTTTTGTTCATCTTCTAAAACGACTTAGGAGGAAAAGGAGACAAGAAAAGATATTCTCTCTTTCTCAGAAACCTTAGTGACACTGCAGAATGAAGAAGGATAAATTTTTGCAAGATATTGAAAACATGATCCAGGGCCACAACATATGAGATATAATTAGCTAACTCCTGATTGACATGATTATTTGAAGACTGGAGAACTTTTACCTTGAGCATTTGTAGGGGCAAAGAAGAAGGGGGATGAAAATTAATACTTTAAGTGTTAACTGCCTTCAAGATAAATATAATTGTCAGTGTCTCCAGGCTTTCAGTTCCCTCCTCTTTCCACACCTCCTCCTTCCCCTCCTGTTCACTTTTCACTGCCTGCTCCCAGTGCTAGAAGGCTGGGTGACTACAGAGCAGGGCTCCGCAGAACATCACTGTCAAAAGCCAGGCTGGAGGCGGTAAAGCTGACCGAACAACTGGAAGGTGGAGGTAGGCAAGAGAAGCCTGAAAGGCAAAGGCTCGATTTATAACCAGGGGCCCTGTGCCACGCCTCCTTGGTCATCGAAGTCATTGCCCACATATCCTCTCCTCATGACAGGCGCTGAGAGGGACGAATGAAGTCTCAGTAACAGCTTCCTCCAAAGCTGCAGCTGCTGTGCCCAGCCCAGATGTGCAGCAGAGCAGCGGCTAACGGGAGCGCTGGTAAGTAACAACGAGACATCCCTCTTTATAGGTCAGGCCCCCAAAGCGGTACCAACAAAACAAAATATCCCAGGCACCGAATTAGTCTTTCATTTTGCGGAGCGGAGTTCCTCTCTGCCTTTTACTAAGGTCATTCTTTAAACTGCCTTGGGCACCCAACTCTGTTTAATGATGCTTCTGCCTTCATTTATCCGGAGAGCGAGTTCTTTCAGTCTCTGTCCAACTCCTAGGGAAGCTCATTCAGTAACTTTTAGGGGAATGCCAAAGTGACCACAAGTAAAGCCCCCCCGCCCAGGTCTAAGGGGACTGCATAGGTTATTCACTGGAAACCCCAAGTTACTAGTGGTTTCCCAAGTGGGAAAGAGAGTGTACTCTCACGAAACTGTCGGTATTTCGCAAGCAGGGGTCAAAAACCAGGAGAGGAAAAGTAGATTCGAATTGGATTGAACTGGTAATTGAACTAAGCTGCCTAATGCTATCTACCCCATCCACTGCCCTGTCTCCTCCACTTTCCAGAAAGCATTGGGTTTTTTTGTTTTGTTATAACCCAAAACAGAAGAAACCAGAAATCTACTAGTTGGAAAGGGCTTCAAGGAAAGGCCCGTTCTTACCCTTTTTTTTTTTTAGGGCACTGGAAGGAAAGCGAAGAGCAGCCCCACACTCCCACCTCCGTCCCACCCCACCCCTTACTTTTCCTGCATCTCTCCACCTCCAGCTTCCCTCCACCTCCTCAACCCCACCCGAGTTGTCGAGTCGATTCACACGCGTTTGTCACTCCTCTTAAAGGCAGATCCTCCCTAGTAGGTTGGGAAGGATCAGTCGCAGAAGATGGGCGTGGGGACGGGACAGACCTGGCATTAAACGAACTCTTGATTTAAAAAAAAAAAAATCTAGCCCTGGCATGCGGCCCGTATTCTGACTTGCCCGATTCTCCTTCAGGTGATTCCTCCTTTCTGTCCATCTGACTCTTGGCCCCCTCAAGGCTGGCACTCTTAGGTCCCCCTGGTTGAGTGCATTTATCTCCTCAGAGGGAAAGCAAGTGGAGGGGGTGGAGAGGAAAGCCTAGCAAGCAGGAAGCTGCTTGTCTCCCCTCCTGGCGGTTCCTCAAGCACCCGCTGCCAGTCCTTTGGGCGCCACCGCCACGCATCCCCTGCCTCCCACCCGGGGCCCGCTCTTCTCCTTAAACTCTGTCATGTCCACAGGACCAGGTGGCAAGGATGGAGGTTCCTTTCAGCTGCCGGTCCCTAGCTTCCGGGGCAGCCAATGAGACGCCGCTGAGCAGCGGCTCGCTGATCTCCTTAGAATCCAGCGTCTTCTGCAGCGAGGGAGAAGGAGAGCCCTTGGCTCTGGGGGACAGCTTCACCGTTAACGTGGGCGGCAGCCGCTTCGTCCTGTCCCAGCAAGCGCTGTCCTGCTTCCCGCACACGCGGCTGGGCAAGCTGGCCGTGGTGGTGGCGTCCTGCCGCCACCCCGGCACCCTGGCCGCCGCCTCCAGCACCCTAGAGCTCTGCGACGACGCCAACCTGGTGGACAATGAGTACTTCTTCGACAGGAGCTCTCAAGCTTTCCGATACATCCTACACTACTACCGCACTGGCCGGCTGCACGTCATGGAGCAGCTATGCGCGCTCTCCTTCCTACAGGAGATCCAGTACTGGGGCATCGACGAGCTGAGCATTGACTCCTGCTGTAGAGACAGGTATCCTACGGAGAAGGGGCAAGCGCCCCGCGTGGGCCTAAGAGTGCCAAGAAAGGAGAGGCTAGTAGGTGGCTCGCAATGTATTTACCAGAATAGCTGAGGGCACTTTGGGGAAGGGGACTAAGAGTCAGGGGTAAAACGAGAACCATAGCGTTTGTGGAGTCCTGCGGGCTTTGTTTGTCTTTAAGTTTGGTAGGCATTTTAGAGAACTGGAAGGAGGAGTCGGATGAAATGAATTCCACCTGTGAGACTATTTGATTTTGCTAAAGTTATGTAACTTCTCTGGGCCTCAGTTTCCTCACCAACAAAATGAAAGGGCTGGATTTGACGGCCTCTGTGGTTCCTTCCAACTCAAGATCTGGGATCACTCTAAATTAGAAGTAGAGGACATGTAAGGGTGAGAGAAATCTTTCAACAGGTGCTCCTGATTTTTGATATCTGATTTTGTACTGTACTATTTTCATTAAAATAGGAAGGAAAGGATTGAATTGGGAATTAAAAATAAAAATAAAACTGAGCAACAAAAAATAAAATAAAATGGGGAGGACTGAATATGAAAACTTGGGGTACTAGGGGGACTGAGCACCAAGAGGTCATTTCAGATTGCTCTGGAAGATGGAAAGTCAGTTCCTAGACAATGAAAAAGTAGAGGATTTTGATGACCACTGTGCAAATAATAGCACTTAGTTTACATATTCGGGGACTTAAAAACTCTCCTCATATCGATCTTGTGAAAGAGGCAGTAAAATTAATTATCTCCATTTTACAGATAAGGATTCTGGGTAAGAGTGAAGTGACCTGGCCATATGGCATATGGCAAGTAAAGTGAAATAATTAATTTGATCCCATCTATACACACACACACACACACACACATTTACTTTGACTCATTTAATCCTTATAACGAGTCTGGGAGTTACATAATATTATTACCCACATATTACAGAGGAGGAAACTCAGACTCAGGCTCACACTACAGTTTCTAAGATGAGATATCAGCCTACAGTTTCTAAATGTGTAGTCTGGGGACCTGGGGTCAGCACTAGCTTTATAATGTCTCCAGGCCTCAGTTTCCTTCTCTTTAACATGGTGATAATACCTTATACCACCTATTTGCAATGTTGTTGTGAGGAAAGCACTTTGTAATTGAAGTGATATAAATATGTGTGTTTATGATTAAATTCCATTTGACAAATGTTGCTTAAGCATCTGCTATTTAAAAGACACCATTAGCCTCTGGTTATACGTAAATGGATCCTACACAGAGATTACTCCAAAAAAACTAACAATCTAATGGTAGAAAGGAAAAATACACAAATAGCCATGATACAAAGGCAATTACTAAAAACAAGATACAGTGAGGAGAGAAAAGCTTCAAACAGTTTTTTTTGGGGGGGAGAATTAAGGAGTAAAGTATCACTTTTATCACTAAAGAATGGGGAAGTGGGCAGGGAAAGCTGTAGATTGTGGTGTTCTTTGAATGCCTAGATCAGAAGATTTTACTTTATTTGGTGAGTAATAGGAAATTACTGAAGATTTCTTAGAAGAGTGACATAATCAGAACAGTACATTAGCAAAATTACTAAGGTCAGAGTGTGAAGGATAGATTGTAGAGGCAATTGACTAGAAATAGGAAGGCCAATTATCACAATCCATACTTCAATATGGATTCCATTTTGGGGACATCATTTGTATCCATCCCCTATTCACTAATGCCAGTGCATACACTTTGTTGCAGGCCCTCCTCTCTTCTTATCAAAATGGTCAAAGTGTGATAGACTAATATATGATACTATATGCTAATAGATTATAATGTTCTAAATGAAAGAAAAGTCAGGACTGAGGTTATTAAGGCTGGAATAGAAAGGAGGGGATAAACACAAGAGATGTACCAAAGTAGAATCAACAATGTTGGGTAATAACTATGTGGGGTGATTGAGAGAGGAAAAAGTCAAAGTCATGAACCTGGGTGAATGGGAAGATGGTATTATTCATGTTGCATTTTAGTAATTCAAATAATCAAATAATCCTTTTCTTCTAGCAAGAACATTAGTTTCTTTCTGAATGTCTTCTTATAACAAAAAAAAGATTTTATATATATATATATATATACATACATATATATACATATATATGTATGTATATATATATTTGAGAGAGAATGGTGTAAAGGCAACTATTAAAGCATTCAATAGGATTTATTAAGTGTCTACCATGGGCCACGCACTGGGCTAAGTGCTTGGGTTTTAAAGATAGATAGATAGATAGATAGATAGATAGATAGATAGATAGATAGATAGATAGATAGAGTTATAAGATATAGATATGTATAGATATATAAACCTTGCCTTCAAAGAGCTATTGTGTATCAAAGAGAAAATATGTGTACATATAATAACTATGCTAAAAATGGGAGCAGGACAGGTGGAAGGTACTAGCAGCTGGAAAGATCAGGAGAGGCTTCAAGAAGGAACAGCACTTGAGCTAAGCTCTGAAGGAAAGTAGAGTTTCTAAGCAGCAGAGGAAGTGCATTCCAGGCATTGAAGATGACACCTTACTGATTCTTTTTGTAAGTCCAGTATCTCTCTTCCACTTCATGATTAAATTATTATTGTTATTATTATTATTATTATTACTTTGGCTAGGCAATGGGGCTAAGTGACTTGCCCAGAGTCACACAGCTAGTAAGTGTCAGGTGTCTGAGGCAGATTTGAACTTAAGTCCTCCTGACTCCAGGGCTGGTGCTCTATCAACTGCACCACCTAGCTTGCCCACATGATTAAATTCTTTCTGAAGGCCCTCTAGTCTACAAATGGGGCCATCACTTCCTTTCCTCTCATTCTTTTCTTGATTATTTAAGGTTCTGACCTCATCATTCAACTGAAACTGCTCTCTCTAATGAACTTTTAATTGCCAAATCTAATGGCTTTTTTTCACTCCTCATCCTTCTTGATCTCTCTTCAGTCTTTGACACTATCAATCATCCTCTTCTTAATACACTCTTCTTACTATGTTTTTCTGGAACTTTTTTAGGAGGGCGAGGTCATTGGGATTAAGTGACTTTCCCAGAGTCACACAGCTAGTGAGTGTCATGTGTCTGAGGTTAGATCTGAACTCAGACTGACTCCAGGACCAGTGCTCTATTCACTGTGCCACTTAGCTGCCCCTAAATGAACTAATTTTCTGAAGAACCTATAACTGGTTCTATGTTGTTGGGTTTCTTTTGGGGTTTTTTTGGTTTGTTTGTTTGTTTGTTTTTTGCTTTTTGGTGAGGCAATCAGGATTAAGTGACTTGTCCAGGGTCACACAGCTAGTAAGTGTCAAATATCTGAGGTCAAATTTGTATTCGGGTCCTCCTGACTCCAGGGCCAGAGAGCTGTCCACTGCACCACCTAGCAGCTCCTTCCAGAACTATTCTTTCCAAGCTCTCCTGCCAGACAGAAAGTTCCTTCTCAGCTCAACCTTTGCAAGATCATGATCTAGGTTAGAACCACTAGTGGTAGTCATCCCGCAAGGCCTCTCTCTTGGGCCCTATTCTCTCCTCCTTCTATATTATTTTACTTGTTAATCTCATCAACTCTCAGGGATTGAATGATTATCTCTATGTGGATAATTATCAGATCTATTTACTCAGACCTAAATCTTTCTGATAACCTTCAATCTTATATCTCCAACTGCCTATTGAGTATCTCCAGCTGAGTGTCACATAAATGTCTTAAACCCAATGTGTACAAAAGTGAATTCATTTGTTTTCCCCAAAATCTTCCCTTCTTCCTAATTTAATTACTGCTATTGAGGGCACCACCATCCTCCTAGTCACCCAGTTTTACAACCTAGGTCTCATACTCTATTTCTGACACCACATATAGAATTGGTTTCCAAGTCCTCTTTACAAAATTTCTCATTACCCCTCCTCTTCTCTGACACTACCACCACCCTGTCACAGTCCCTCATCACCTCACACTTGAACTGTTGCAGTAGACTTTGGGATTGACCTCCTCACCTCAAGTTTCTCTCTGATCACAACAGACCATCCCCCATTCAACTATCAAAGTAATTTTTCTTAAAATAAAGCTTTGACCATATGACCCAAACCACTATTCATTAAACTAAGGATCATTACCTCCAGGATCAAGTGTAAAATCATATGTTTGACTTTTAAAGCTCTTTATATCCTGACTTCTTTGCACTTTTCTAGTCTTCCCTTCATTCACTCCACTATCCACTGATTCTTGATTTTTGACAATCCTTATACAAGACACTAGATCTCATGACTCCATCCATTTCACTGGCTGTCACACACACCTGGAATTCTCTCCCTCCTCACCTCCACCTCCTGGTTTTCTTGGCTTCCTTTGAGTCTCAGCTAAAATCTCACATTCCAAAAGAAGTCTTTGGGGGGCAGTTAGGTGGTGTAGTGGATAGAGCACAGGCTCTGAAGTCAAGAGGACTTGAGTTCAAATCCGGCCTCAGACCAAACACTTGACACTTACTGGCTGTGTGATCCTGGGCAAGTTACTTAACCCCAATTGCCTACAAAAAAAGAAGAAAAAGAAGTCTTTCCAGGTCCTCCTTAATATTAGTACTTTCTCTCAGAGATTATTTCCAAATTATCCTATATACACATATGTATAAATACATATATCCCACTGATACTCATATATGTTTTTCTATACATATATGTGCACATGTATAGATGTGTGTATACACTAATGTCTATCATATGGTAGATTGCTTAGTAACTATTTGCTGCATTGAATAGATCAAAGGTCCAAATACACGACTCTCAGACCATATGTGGCCCACATCACTCCTAAATAGACCCAAACCAGAATAAAATGTCATTGAGAAATATTTAACAAAATGAAAAAAATAAAATGTAGATTACATTACATTTTAAAACTAAATCAGTATTCAACTCTCAGGGATCTTTATGTATAGATCCATGCCCCCTTTTTCTATTTAAGTTTGACAGCATTAAATTAGTAAGGTCCCTTCCAACTTTCAAATGCACAGTACCAGAAGTAAAATTAAATCTCATATTCTTTGTTCTGGTCTTATCCTACTTGACATCTCTGCAGCATTTGATTCTGTTCACCTCTTTCTTGGTATTCTTTCCCTTTGGCTTCCATTATACTGCATTCTCATGTTTCTCCTTTCTGACTGTTTCTTTTCTTTCTCTTTTGCTTCAGTCTTACCCTTCTCCCACTTTTTATATTGAAGTCCCCTAATGTCCTATCCTTATATTTTATTTTTTTCTATATATTCTCTCCTCTATTTGTATCTTCACTTCCATGATATCAGTGATCATTTCTAGGAAAATAACCCCCATTTTTATATTTCCACCTTTACCCTTTTTCTCTAGAGTCCCGTATTTCTAATTGCTGATTGAATATATTCACCCAAAGCTACTAAAAGATAGAAGTGAGATTCAAGATTTCCAAGTGCAGGTCCAAATGGTCTTTTTACTACTATGGTAGTAGTACTTAAAGTACTTAAGAACTTGAAGTACTTAAGTGTTACTTTAAAAAGTATCATTAGTATTAAAGCCATTATTTTTAATAAAAGTTCTAATAATCATATTATTCTTTTGGAAAGGTACTTGAAAAGGAAGGAGTTGAGTGAGACCTTAGACTTCAAGGATGATACTGAAGACCAGGAAAGCCAGCAAGAGAGTGACCAGGACTTTTCTCAAGGGCTCTGCCCTACTACCCGACAGAAGCTCTGGGACATTCTGGAAAAACCAGGGTCTTCCACTGCTGCCAGAATCTTTGGAATCATCTCCATCATCTTTGTGGTCGTGTCCATTGCCAACATGGCCCTGATGTCATCTGAGCCAAGCTGGCTGGACATGCAGCTATTGGAGGCCCTGGAGTACCTGTGTATTACATGGTTCACAGGGGAGTTTGCTCTGCGCTTACTCTGTGTAAGGAATAGGTGTGGCTTCTTAAGGAAGGTAGCAAACATCATCGACCTCCTGGCCATCCTCCCCTTCTATATCACTCTGTTGGTGGAGAGCCTGAGCGAAAGTGAAACCACACAAGAGCTGGAAAATGTGGGGCGCATCGTACAGGTTTTGAGGCTGCTCAGGGCTCTGCGCATGCTAAAACTGGGCAGACATTCAACAGGTATTCACACTTCATTGATGCTTTTTAAAACTACCATGGGTTTTAAGTGCTTGAGATAATTGTAAAAATGAAAAATTGTATTCTGTACCTGAACAAAATACGTAGCAACCCAGTGGACATGTGTTCCCCCTCTTTCCTGAGGCCCTAATGTAGTGATAGGCGTCATATTTAATCAATCAACAAGCATTTATTAAGCACCTATTTTGTGCAAGGCCCTCTGTTAAGCTCCAGAGTACAAACACAAAAATGAAACAATCTTGTCCCTCACTCACCCTCACAGGGCTTACATTCCACAAGGGAAAGCAACATATACAATATCTGCCAATCCTAAATCATTTACTAATCACATGCTATGAGCTAGGTACTATGCTAGGCACTTAAATGAAGACAAAAGAATAAAAATGAAATACTTAATCCAAGGAGTTCTCACTCTATGTGAGGAAACAACATGATAATGTAAAAATATATGCAAAATAGATAATAAAGTAATTCTTGGGTAGGAGGCATTATTAGATGGGAGGGTAAGGAAAGGTCTAACGTAGAAGATAACACAAATCGAAATTTTTAATCGAAGAATTAAATTTAAAGGACTTGTAGGAGACAGAGATAAATAATGTAAACATAAAATTAGTATAATTTTCAAGGGTGCACATAGCAAAGTTGAAAATGTAACCATTGACCCCTCTCATTTGCTCTTCATAATTTTCAGAAATCCCTTTACCATTTGTCATCACATTATAAAAATAGTATGGTTATGGACATATAAGAATGTATAAGCAAGTTTTTACTTTGGGTCCAGCAGGGAGCTAGCAAAATATTCTTCTGGGCACAGAGGACAAAGAAACTTCTGATGACTCTCCGCCTTGATAATCCACCCACAGTTTGGTATAAAGTGGTGTGGTCACTTCCCAATATACTTTTTTTTTTTTGGTGAGGCAATCGGGGTTAAGTGACTTTCTCAGGGTCACACAGTTAGTAAATGTCATGTGTCTGAGGTTGGATTTGAACTCAGGCCCTCCTGACTCCAAGGCTGGATCTTTATCAAACACTGTGCCACCTAGCTGCCCCCCAATATGCTTTTGCAAAGGAAAAAGGAGTGTCCTGCATAGAAGTTGTTCATTTAGCCCATCTACAAGAATGACCAGTTACATACAAACTACCCTCTAACCAAAATATATACCAGGTAATCACCATTTCAGGGCTTCACAGACACGAAATTTTCTCCATTGGGGAGAGGGAGAAATTAGATAGTAGAATGGAGGAATAAGAGGGGAGAATCAGGGATTGAGTGAAGGAGATTATTTCCTATAGCTATAGCTCTATTGGCTGCACTGCATAGTTTTGTCCATATCTCAAGGGACCTAGGGAGTTGGGGAAGGTAAATTGGCCTATTTTTTTTAACCAAAGTAGATTGATTTTGGACTTTTCCTGACAATTTCATTATTGTTTTCTGTTTAGAGTATTTTCTCAGTTTCACATAACGTAGCCTTGATAATGGGGTTCCCAATAACTTTTAAAAGCTCTAGTCTTTGTTTTTTGACGCACATAATGGGATGCTTTCCTAGTGTATTTATAAACTCTCCCTGGGTTTTGATTTTAAAACACAGTTAAGACTACATTTTTCTCAAAAAAAAAGGGAGAAAAAGGGAAACAACAGCAATTTCCACTGTCAGCTTTCTACAAAAAATTTCTAAATTCTTAGACAAGCATCATCTCCATAGATAGGTTAAGTATAAGAGCATAACTTCGTGCTTAGATATAAGATGGACTCATCAGCTACATGAAGTTTGACATCCTTGTAAAATAAAGTTATTTAGGAAACAAAAAGGACAAATACTTTCCCCCTCTGTCTCTCTCCCCACACAGATATTAATTATCAGAATAAGGTAACGTAGTTCAGTCCAACTATCTAGTTTTCTTTTATTTATTTGGAAAATGTTTAAGACACTTTCACCAAAATGAAATATAATCATGCAAAGTAGAAAAATCAGTGGGCTAGGAGTTAGGAAACCTGGACTTAAGTCCCTACTCTGTCATTAACAAGCTGTGTGATCTTTGCAAAATTCACTTGACCTCTTCTGGCTGAAGTTTCCTCCTCTGTAAAAGGAGAAAAGTTGGACTGGATGATTTCTAAAGCCCCATTGAGGTCTGACATCCATGAAAAAATGCATTACTATATTGATAACTGTGCAAAGAACAGGTCTATAAAAACAACAATATTTTCAATCTGACCATCTCTGCAAGCTGCTTAAGAGGTCTTCTAAAACTGTTAAACCTCAAATACATTATTCATTGGTCTCTAACAATAAATAGCTTCTTAATAACTCATGTCCAATTGGGGAAGCTGAATATCATAATCTAGAGTAATGAAAGTATAAATAATACTTGAATTAATTTCAAATAGCCTTTGGTGAGTCAGATCAGAGCCACTTTGACTTAACTCTGGCCTTATGTTGTAATGTGCATTTTGATGTAAAAAAATTGATCATGCTTTCAGAAGATCCCTATTCCCTGTCCCCCATACATCAGGGGAGCTCCCTGATAAGACATTGACATTCTTCTCATTATAAGTGATTTATTTGGAGGCTTAAGCCTTCAACAGATTGGATCATCCCTTCTTTGATTCTTCCAAGGATATGAAATTATCAAAACCAGGTTCTTTCTTCCTCAAACAAATGGATTGAATGGGAAAGGTCAGCACAGCAATGAAGTGGAGATTTGGCTCTTTGAATAATTGCTAGCATTTATATAGTGCTTTTGAATGTTTGCAGAGCACTTTATGCATATTATTTCATTTGATCCTTACAACAATCCTGTAAGGTAGGTGCTATTTTTATCCCCATTTTATAGATGAGGAAATTAAGAACAAGAGAGGTCAAGTGACTTGCCCAGGGTCACACAGCTAGTAAGTGTCTGAGGTAGAATTTGAACTTCAATCTTACTGATTTCAGGCCCAGTACTCTAAATACTGTGCCACCTAGCTGCCTATGCTTGCTTTACTGTCTCCTTAAAATAGAAGAAAGATTGCTCATTGTCGGGGGTGGGAGGTAGGGGATGGAATTGAGTCAGATCTAGAAAAGCAAGTACTCTACCTAAAACCTTAGAGAGATGTTTTTTAGTAGAACTGAAATTATAGATATGTGATAAGCAAGTGTCATACAAGGTGCCTAACACACAGTATTGTAAAAGTGAAGAAAAGGCAACCTGTCAGTAAACAACATTTCCTGAGGACATACCCCACATACCATTGTGAGATGAAACCCAACTAGGGGACAGATATTCCAGGCTCCAGAAGACTATGATATCATTGGGAATACATACATGTGAACAAATGAACACAACTGTAAAGGAGATAATGTACAGATAGGTACAATAACCATAGTAATAATAAGCATTATTATTACTATGAAAACTGGGAATGTTTAGACTGTAGAAGAAAAGACATATCTATCCTCAAGTATTTGAAAGGTTGTCATAAAGAAGAGGGAAGAGACTTGATCTTTTCAGTCCTACAGGGCAGTAATTTTGCCTTGAGTATAAGTTTGCCAAAAGGCCTGTTTAGGCTAGATGTCAGGAACAACTTCCTAACAATTAGAGCTAATTAAAAATAGAATAAGCTGACTCAGCAAGTGGTTGCTTCCACCTCATTGGAATCTTTAAGCTAAGGCTGGATGGCCATGGGGGGGGGGGAGGTACATGTTTTATGAGTTGTCTGGTTCCTCCACTAATAAAGCAGTTCTGAGGAGCAGGAGTCCCTGTTTAGTGGGACTGGGGTTCAATGAGGACATTCTGAGTGTGGGGCTCCCCAACTTAGTCCCAATCTTGGTCAGCAACTCATGGACTAAAGGAGGAGAAGGAGTTCCCTGATGCTAAGGCACAGGGTTGAGACCCATAGCCCTGGTGTTCATGTCCTGAATGATTGACACCTACCATAGCAGGTACTAAGACTATGGTCCAGAGGCAAGCAGCACAAGGCAAGGGAAGAAGGAAGTGACCCAGGGGAGCAACTAAATGGAGCTCTAGGTAATGTCTGTGATGAAGGGCAGAGCTTCCACTGTCACATGCCAAAAGAGTACATGGCCCTGAACTCAAAGGTATAAGTTTTATATTTGAGGGAGACCACACTGGAGTTTTAGGGATTTGGGTCAAGTTTTATCAGGGATAATAGGCTAGGGTGTAGGTTTCTATAACTGGTTCCTGGGTTGATTGGACTAGGCATTTCTTAAGGTGGACTAATGATTAGGGCATTCTTCCCTACCCATTTTCTTGACCATCTCTCAGATAAATGGAGCACCTTCACCTTGCTGGTCACCGGGGAGACTTATTATAGCCTCCCAGAAGAGTATTGTAGAGAGTGGAGTGTGCCCCACTGGCCGTAAAAACAGGCAGGCCATGAACTAGGTAAAAGAAGAAGTACAAGTAGGTCTGAGAGTCATGCATGTCTTTGGATGAACACATCATTCATAGTCTGCTAGTGTCAAAGGATCACATAAGTATTGCATACACTACAGAATGTTTTTAGTGTGAATTCCTTTATATATGAGTTGAACTAGCTAACCACTGAGATTCCTTCCAGTTCTAAAAATTCCCTGTTTCTAAAATAACATCTAATAAAATGGAACATCTAAATTCTGAAGGGGAATCAATAGGAAGTTCCTTTCCATTTCAGGTAATCTCTGGGAATAATGGAGAAGCCTGTACAGTATTGTAGCTCAAGTGAGAAAATGTATCCAAAGCGCTCTGCAAACCCTGAGGTGCATTATAAATGTGATTGTTATTGTTGTTGCTATTTTTACATGAGCTACTCAGCTGGGGTAGACTTTTTCAGCCAGAAATAAGGAAACCTTCTTGGGAGTTCTCCCTTCAACAGTTACTGATCTGCACACACTTCTAGGTTTTGATGGTATTGATTTTTTTTTTTGAACCTGTGAGTTCATCAGGGCAGGAAACTCTGAGAGTGGAAATTCTCATCCACAAATGTAACTCTAAAACTCATCTTCAACTTCTAGTCTTAGGTAGTCTCCTGTGGCTCTCAGATATTAAGTAATTTACCCACGATTACACAGTTTTTCAACTCAAGTCTTCCTTTTTCCAAATCCAGTCCTCTGGCTACAGTCTTCTATGTTAGTGTCCTTTAACTCTTGAGGTAAACTGGGTCACATATGTCAATTATTTCATGTCCTGTCTTCTTCACTTACACCTAAATGTGTACATCTTTATGCCTTCTGGATCACAAAAGAAGTCAAAGGTAGGCTTTGAGTTCAGAAGTTTTTTTAGTCATGTATGACTCTTTATGACCCCATTTTGGGTTTTCTTGGCAAAGATACTGGAATGGTTCGCCATTTTCTTCTCCAGCTCATTTTACAGATGAAGAAATTGAGACAAATAGGGTTTAGTGACTTGCCCAGGGTCACACAGCTAGTAAGTGTCTGAGGCCAGATTTGAACTCAGGAAGATGAATCTTTTGGCTCCAGGCTCAGCACTCTATCCACTGTGCTACCTAACTGTCCTAAAATGGGCTTAAATAAAAGCAAAATGGTGGGCGAATCAAAATATATTGAGGAGGGAGAAGCTACCTAGCTAGCATCTAAACTGTATTCATAGTGATTAGAAGAATTAAGTGGATCAAATGACTGACAACTTTTCTCATATTTCAGGCTTGCGGTCACTAGGAATGACACTCACTCAGTGTTATGAAGAGGTTGGCCTGCTGCTCCTGTTTCTCTCTGTGGGCATTTCAATATTTTCAACTGTGGAATATTTTGCTGAGCAAAGCATGCCAGGTACAACCTTCACAAGTGTGCCTTGTGCATGGTGGTGGGCAACAACATCCATGACTACTGTGGGGTATGGTGACATTAGGCCAGACACCACCACAGGCAAAATTGTGGCCTTTGTGTGTATACTGTCAGGGATACTTGTTTTGGCCTTGCCTATTGCTATTATTAATGACCGCTTTTCGGCCTGCTATTTCACTCTGAAGCTTAAAGAAGCAGCTGTTCGACAGCGTGAAGCCTTGAAGAAATTGACAAAGAATATAGCCACTGACTCCTATATCAGTGTTAACCTGAGAGATGTTTATGCCCGAAGTATCATGGAAATGCTCCGATTGAAAGGCAGAGAAAGAGCAAGTACTAGAAGCAGTGGGGGAGATGACTTCTGGTTTTAAATACACTTCCAGTGTTTTTTTTAAAAGCCTGTATGTTATTGGCAAGTTTAATGAAGTATTGATGTATGTGTTTGCTAATATTAAGACGATTATCTTGTAGCATTTACTGTTTTAATTTTTTCAACTTGTTTCCTTGGTGTATCAGAATATTTTATATCCCCAAAGACAAACAGAAATATTCAGGGTGACACTAGAGCTATTTCTCATTTTTGGATCTCAAAACAGCCAAAGCAAATAATACATCAAAATGAAACCATTCTGATGACAAATGTTTCTAATGTGCAGTGATAAAACTATGACATGGAGAGCATTACGGAAGTGATTATGCCTTCAGGATCAATTTTTAAAGGAAAGGTAATCGAGAAAAAAAATTTCAGAACACAAAAAGATGGGTAAAAGTTTATATCCACATAGATTACCTTTTTTGTACTCAATCGCCTTACCCTAGGAAAAAAAAAGTCTTTGTTAATTAGTAAGAGACTGTTGCTACTATGGGCACACTCATGAACTCAATCCCTGAAAGGGCCAATTAGCTTTGAACTAAGAAAAAGTTGATTTTCTGTTTGGAGATTGACCTTCCATTCTCATAAAATGCCCTGATTAAATAAGTAGGATAGGTAACAAATTAAATGGACAAGTGATTCTGGATGTTTACTGTAATACATCATCCTTATTTGGGGGTTGGAGGTGGGGGAGAAAGACAATGATATAGGGGCAGGTATGTGGAATGTGGACTACCTACAATGCAGTATTAGGGTTCAGATTATAGCTTTCCCACCTCAAGGAATTAAATATTTTCATCCTTAACAACTGATACAGTAACTCTATGGGTTCACTATGGGTAATACAATTAATTACTAAGGCAATTTGCTTGATAGTATCCCAGGTAGATTTTATCCTCTAGGGGTGCCTGGTTGACTATGGATGTCTTTGATTTCTTCTTTGATTCAGTGATTATTTGAAGATTACATCATGAACAAATTATAAATTCAGCATTTTAATTATTAAATGATTTTATCTCAGCCAATGAAGAGGGTATATTTGATTAACTCAGTAGACTCAGTAGTCACTCATTTATTCAATTATATTGTGTACATTTCTCTCATTGTTGAGTAAATTTTCAATTAAAGTTTTGAGGCTGACTAGAAGGCAAGAAAAAATCAATCACCCATCTTGAGAATTAATAGTATTTGGTCTGTCATATTATAGCATTAACATCCAATACTATCAAGTTATTAGGAAGAAAAATCAATAAAATAAAATTCTTTGTCAAAGGGATAGGCTTAGACCTATCATTTCATCAATATAGAGATCTCCCAGGCGAGAAAGCTCCCTCTACCACGGCAGTCATCACCTTCTCTGCAATTTATTATAGTCTTAGTTGCCTAGAGCACTGAGAGATTAAGTTATTTGCTCTGAGTCACAAAAGTAGTATGGTTAGAGACAGGACATAAACCTCGGCCAGCTCTCTAACCACAATGCCACCTGGAGGTAAATGAGATCTATAGAGATTTCATGGTAAGTGCCGTACCTATTTATTAATCCTGAATCCATGGAATAAATTCTAACCCAGGAAGAACATATACTAGCTTTTTAAAAACAATATTAATTTCTAGAGACCTGGTACCATAATGAATTATTATTTTTCCCTAAGAAAATAAGTCAAGCTTTAAAATAAATATTAACTAATAATTGTTTTAAACTAGCAAGGAGAATTTATAATGGGAATGACACATTTTTCATATTTATGCTGGTTTTCTGGACTATTTTTCTATATCTTAAACCTTTATATTCAGGATTTGTGCTTGTATAATATGAACAAAAACTAAATTAATTACAACAGAAAGGGAGCCAGTGTCATATTCAGAGCATTGACAATAACAATGAAAAAGTCTAGATGTTGTATTTTGAAGCTTTAACAAGATATTCTACATCTCTGAGCAGATGATTCTCAGATTTATTTATCCAGCCTTAACCAATTAAAGAAAAGAAGAAAAAATAAAGTGATTTCTCCTGACCTCCAGTCTTGCAACTTCAATTGACTCTTGTACATCTCAAACATAAAGTCCAAAGATACCTCAAACTCAACTGTCAAATTGATCTTTCTAAGGGGCAGGTCTGACCACATCACCACTTCTATTCATATTCTTCCAGTAGCTCCCTATTGCTTGCAGGATCAAATATAAAATCTTCTCTTTGGCTTTTACAGTCCTTCATAAGCTGGCACCTTTTTACTTTTCAAGTTTTCTTACACCTTACTTACCTCCATGCAATTAGGGATATAGTGAATTTGGCTTCCTTGCTCTTCCTCACACAAGACATTCCATCTCCTGACTCCATGCCTTGCTACTGGCTGATAAACATGTCTGAAATTCTCTCTCCTCATCTTTTCCTCTTGGTTTCTCCGGCTTCCTTTAAGTTTTAGTTGAAATCTCACCTTCTGCAGGAAACCTGTTCTGCTCCCCTTTAATGCTAATGTGTTCCACCTGATTATCTCCAATTTACCTTGTATATATCTTGTTGGCACGTATTAGTTTGCATGTCATCTCCCCCATTAGACTTTGTTCTCCTTGAGAGCAGAGACTCTTTGAATCCCTTGCCCTTAGTACAGTGCCTGGCACATAGTAGGTGTTTAATAAATTTTTCTTGACTATTCTGGAGATAAATAAACCATTCAGTTTCAATTCATTTAGATAAGCATTTACTAAATATTGTGTGCAAGGTACTGGTGATATGAAGGCAAAAACAAAAGTGTCTTCCCTCAAGGGCAATATATGTATATGTATGTGTATGTGTGTGTGTGTGTGTGTGTGTGTGTGTGTGTGTGTGTATATATGTATGTATATATATGTATGTATGTATGTATGTATACTAATTATTTGCACATATATACTAATCTGTGTTCACGATGCTTCCCAACAGTAAACTATAAGTTCCTTGAGAGCACAAACTGTTCTGATTCTGTTATCACCTCCTACACTATACAGCTACATTCATACACACACATACATACACACACACAAACACATACACATGTATGCACACACACACACACACTTTATATACCCTTGCTTTCTTTAAAATGTATATAACTAGGGGCATCAGGAAGGCCTTTATGTGAGAGTGATACTTTTGCTTCTTTTTAAAGTAAGCTGTGGATTCCGGGAGGTAGAATAAGGAGGAAGTGTGTATAAACCAGTCCAGCAAAATAGGCTGGGGCCAGGTTGTATGTGGCTTTTATTGCCATGGGGAGGGGTGGGGTTATATTTTATCCTAGAGAAAATAGGGAACCACTGAAATATCTTTTGTATTCTAATACAACAGAAAACTTGCAAGCCTTTTTCAAATTACTTAATCTTCTGGATTACTCTTCAATACAGTTATTACCCTATAAAATGTATCCATTAATATAATTCTGAAATGTTACTTAAGATATTCTGAATCAGATCCATGAAAATAATGGCTATGTACACTCCTGGGCAGGGCAGTACATGCAGTGTATCATCTTAGATATTTCTCTGCCTACTCCTCCCCTCAAAATGTTCATTTGTCCTTTTTGACCAAATTTATGCCTGGAAAAAGAATACCAGACAGAGACAATTTTAAACATGGGTGTGTATTTGGTGTCTGGGGCAGCTAGGTGGTATAGTAGGTAGAGTGCAGGACCTGAGGTCAGGAAGACTAATCTTCCTGAGTTCAAATCTGGCCTCAGACACTTACTAGCTGTGTGAACCTGGACAAGTTACTTAACCTTGTTTACCTCAGTTCCTCATCTGTAAAATGAGCTGGAGAAGGAAATGTCAAACCATTCTAGTATCTGCCAAGAAAACCCCAAGTGAGGTCATTAAGAGTAGGACAAACTGAAGAAAAGGAGAAATAACAACAACAACATGTGTGTTTGAAAATTTCTAAGAGACAGAATTTCTGGGTAATTATAATCAATTTTTTTGACTATACCTAGAAAGTAGTCAACAGAGCAAGCTCACTGTTCCCTTGGTAAGCAAAGAGAGTGTCTGTTGAACCTTCAGTATTTATAAAGTCTTTTGAAAAAGGGGTACACTTGAGTGTGGAAATCAACTCTGATTGCTTAATAAGTAATGCAAGAATGGGTATTATAATGAGAGGTGTGCTTATTCCTATGAGAGTCTTGAGGTACATGACACTGAGCACCCAAATCTTGGTCAAAGAGATTTATCAACATCCATGTCACTGTCTGTCAAAAGGGAGAATCCACATTTTCCAACCTGTCCAAGTAAACACAGGGAGCAGGAGTCCACCCATTCACTTAAACTTAGAATTTCTTTACTATCTTTGATTAGATTTCCTCATGCATTGATTTCTGGATGAGAAAGTAGAAAAATGGAAAAGCCTGGGTCCTAATTCAATAATTAGATATTAAAAACAAGAGAGAAATAATTATTTCTCTCAAACAACAATCCATTGTATCCATTGCCAGACCTCCTTTGAGAGATGTGTCCTTAAATTGAATGTATATAGAACATATTATACTATGTGGCACCTGTGGGCTTATACTTATGAGTGAGGAGAAATCCTATCTTGCTACTTTCCAATTAGTTTGTGATTCCTCTGCCCCTACAGTCTTTATGTGATGGAAGATCTCTTTGCCCCTGTGACTCAATTGTTCATTACCCTCTAGAACTTCCATTTTTAAGAACAGGTCAGCCACATTCACTCTTTTTCCTCTCTGCCTCTGCTTCTGCTCCTGACTTTCTCCTGACTTTTTCTCTGTTATGTCCCAGCAACTTTCTCACACTAGGAGCTGCCTTGCAACTGTGCTCTTCAAGGCCTCCAGTTTTCCCTGCTTTTCTATTCCTTTTTATACCTGTGTTTCCTTCTACAGTTATAAGCACTCCAAGGGCAGGCACTGTCTTTCTTTTGCTTCTATTTGTATCTCTAGGGTTTATAGTACCTGACACAGAGTTAATGCTTAATAAATAATTGTTGACTTGTTGACTTTAAAAAGAAGTCAACGACATCATTGCCTAGACATGTGAAAGCTGACTAGCCCGACTCAATAAATGAAGATGAACACTTAGAAATATGATTTTATTTCACTGCCAAAGCAAAAGGAATTTTTTTTTTGCAAGAATATTCTACATTTGTACAAATAATCTATTGAGTGGAGGGGTCATATTACTGACTATTTTGAAAAAAATATATTGTTTTCTGACAAGGTTCAAGTTAGCAGTATTTATGCTAATTAGTAAAATTGCTAGCTTTTTACGTTCAGCATAAAAAATGTTAAATATTCCGTCCCTTCACATGAGTACTGATTGTTCCCCAGGAGAGGAAGGAATCTATAAGTTGTCGAAGGCACGGCTTTAGGCTAGTTACTACAGCCCATTTTAGGTTCCAGTTTCAGAACTATGTCCTATCAGCCTCAGAGTTAAAAGTCCTTTCCAGCTTGTCTGTGTGTTACCTCAAGGAATAATTCTGATGGATGGAAAAAAGCTGCTTCATCATTATTGTGTATTCATGCAAATTTGAATAAGCTGTCTAGGAGAGATTTGAAAGGACTTTCTTATGTTGCTTCCCAAGATCTGCTTAAGCATCTTTATCTCACAGGATGTGGGTCCTAGCATTGATTATTTTGAACTTCTGATAAGCAGCAGTATAATATTCAGGTCATGTTTCAAATTCAGCCAAGACTGTGACCTATTGTAGATGTTTGGCAATGGAAAGTGAAATCAGGAGGCACTTGATCGCTTGATCACGGCTTCTAATCAATAGAGCTACAAGTACTTATGAAGGGCTTAGTGTATGACCCATACTACGCTGAACATTTAGGGAATATTAAATTGTGTGTGTGTGTGTGCGCGTGTATATGGCATTATCCCTGATCTTGAGGAGTTTTAAATCATCTAGAATCAAGGAGAAAAAATTATCACACAAATAATAAGAAAACAGATATAGTGAGTAAAGACCTGGCCTCAAAGTCTAGATTCAAGTTCGATACAGTTAGGCCATGTGACCTTGAGAAAGTTACTTAATTTCTCAGGTACCCCTAAGAAGCGCTCTCTAGAACTACAAATTACAGAATAGTTGCAGAGAGAGACAGGCAGAGACAGAAGGAGGGAGAGAGACGGAGACAGAGACAGAAAGAACACAACAAATTGAATGCTAAAAAAAATTAAATAAATGTATGATTGTATGTTATGAGTCATAGCCTAGACAGCTAGATGGCACAGTGGATAGAACGTGGGACCTGAAGTCAAGAAGACTGTTCATGACTTCAAATCTGGACTCAAACACTTAGTAGCTGTGTGACCCTGGGAAAATGGTTTAACCCTGTTTGCCTCAGTTTTCTCAGCTATAAAAATGAGCTGGAAAAAGAAATAGCAAACTACTCTAGTATATTTCCAAGAAAACCCCAAATGGGGGGTCACAAAGGGGTAGACATGACTAAAATGACTGAACAAAAATAATATGAGTCTAGGAGTTCAGAAAAAGAACAAGTCAGCATGGACAGTAATATTATAGAATTCAAGAATCTCAGGGTTGAAAGGCACCTACTAAATATACCTGTACCTGAAAAAGAAGTGTCTGGAGCCCACTATCTCCTAAGGTATCCTATTCCATTTGGAGATAGTTCTATCAGTAGACAAAGGCTAAGTGAAAAAGGTAAGACTTGGCCTGGGCTTTTTAGTATAGTTAGAAATTAAATACCAGATCAAGGAGATTCTAGTAGGACAGTGTGGCTTAGCAAAAGTAATGCCGTTTCTAGATGATAATATTGCTAAGCCAAAAGGTTTTACAGAACAAATCCTTTATTAAGGGGATTTATTCTGTGAAGTTTGGATTCAGTCAAAGGGCCACACTTGAGGACCCAGACCACATATGGCCTTGAGGCCGCAGGCTCCCCACCCCAGATTTACAGCATTCATATGAAAGGGAAAGCTGCACCACATTGGTGTGAGAGATGGACAGCAAAATAGAGGCCAAGTAACCTCGGACCAGCTAATTTAGAATCTTCAAATCCAATTAATCAAGAAAAATTTATTAAGCCTCACTTTGTGACAGGTGCTAAGGATAAAAACAAAACCAAAACATTTCACAACCTCAAAGATCTTATATTCTATATGAAGAGATAACATGTATAACCTATATAGCATTCCTTGAAAGAAAACTATGTAGAGGAGGTAGCGTAATACAGTAAAAAGTGTGTGGAATTTGAAGTCAGAGGACTTGGGTTGGATTCTCAGCTATGCCCTTACCCTTGTGACTTGGGGAAGTCACTTAACATCTTTGGGCTTCTGCTCTTTGATTGTCAAATGAGAGGAAGATATTAGACTAAATCATTTCTAGGGTCCCTTCCAGCTCTAAATCTATAATCTTTAACCAGGAAATGGGAGACACTGTAGGTTCTCCTGGAGGAGAATAACTTGATAAAAATGGTATCTAAGGAAGATTAGGCAAAACAAGCTAATTTCCATCCCTTCTATTTCTGAACTGGGAGCACAGCTAAGGCTGTACTTAGTGTGATGCTGTTTCTAGATAATAATATTGCTAAGCTTAAAGCAATGAAAC